AATAAAAAAAAAAATTTTGAATTTACTTACTTGTAGCCGGAGTTAGAGGTGGTCGGATACTTATGACCGCTACTGTAAGGAAAATGAACAGACTTTTCTCTATGTTTATTTGACTCTTTTGAGTCTAGATCTATATTCAGCCACTTTTCTTTCTTTTTTAAAATATCTGAAATAATATTCTGTTTAATTTTATATAAAGTAACAAGTTCTTCTTAAGTAGGCTGTAGCATTTTCTGATAATTTAAACAGAGTTGTCTTTTTTGTACATGTGTTAAAATAATTCTTTTTTTTGTTTGAAAAGTATTTTAAGTTGACTTTCTTTTTACTTGTAATTAAGACATGATTTTCTAATGCAAATAAAAATGCATTACAACATATTTAGTAAAGTTATATATTAGTATAACTTAAAATATCAGTATATATTACTATATGTTAATCATAAGAGGATAAAGAAAAATATTAGTACATGTTACATTATGAAACTATATGTAATATTAGTATAACAAGGTTTTTTATTAATTATGAAATGGGACATAAAAAATTTATCAATACAAACAATTATCAGATATACAATATCAGTATATAGAGATCTAATTATATAGTGATAACATACTTACTTACTGTGCATGATATATACTTAGCTAAGTCACCCATGTGATTCAAAAAAGAAATATACAATTTTGCATAATTCAGTAATTGATTCATCCAATAATTCTTCTATGCAGTTACCGGTAAAATAATAAGACTTATCATTGGTGAGACCTTCCTTTCATATCCTCCATCATAATAATAAGAACCTCTATCACATTCACCATATGGGGCCTTTGCAATAGAAAGGGAGGAAACTCCAAAAAAATTAAAATTTTAGTTTATAAGCCAAAAATGTTTCAAATACTATAATTTATTCAGATTTATTATTAACTCATTTTTTATTTTTTTTTGAGTTTCCTCCCTTTCTATTGCAAAGACCCCATATTTATTATATCCATCATATTCACCATCATCTGAATTATCTGATATCTTATTTTCAGAATTACTATCAGAATCAGAGTCTGATTGCATCATTATCGTGCGTATTATTTGATCCTGAAGGGACCTCTTCATTTGCCTTATCAAAATATACATCATCGTTTAAAGTAACAGTGTTCACTTTAGTGAGATTCGCTTTATTGAAAATCAATCTTCATCAAACCACGCCTCTTCCTTGAGGCATGGATTACAATATTTTTATTATATTTGAGTGTTTTAGCAAATTATATCAATTTATAGTATTTTTATTGATTTATAGCAATTTATAGAAATTTTTATAGAATTCATTTTGTACCAGAGTGATGTAAATAAATTATTACCGTATTCCTCTAAAAATAAGCACCATCAAGATTTATTAATACCTGAAAATAAGCATCCTCACAATTTATTCAATTAAAATCTGTTATTTCAGTACTCATATATATATTATATAACTCGTTGTAAAAAATGTTTATTTCAATAATTTTAAATGCTATTGCCTTAATCACTATTAATGCTATTATTGTCATCAATGCTATCGTTACTGTCACAATCATTATCAATATATATAACATCCAAATTATTATCTTTATTTTCGTCTGCACTCTCATCTATATTCTCATATCCACTTCCATCTTCGCTATCATCTTCACTTTCATTAGATCTGTCTAAAGAATTTGATATCTTACATTTTTTAAAGGATCTGATAATAATTTCATCTAAAATTGCCTTCCAAGAATATTTGATTCACATGCAAATATCACTTAATTTTGCCCAATAAAGGTTTCTCGCAGAAGTTGTTTCTGCATCACCCTTGGACATCCAGCTATGCCATTTTCTTCATAGATTTTCTTTGAATGGTTTATTGATCGCAACATCGAGCGGTTGGCAAATGCTAGTCAATTTGCCTGAAATGACTGCCAAACTATATCCACTTTTGTGAAACTTTAATTTTACTGATTCTTTAATATGATCCCTAAATGAATCATACACTAACATTGCTAGAATATTGTTAGTTCTTGCATTATTAAGATAAACCACATACCTTTTCATCAGATCAGCATTCATCCATACATTTTTCTGAAACTATACTACTACTTCAGAAGGAATTTGTTCTTCTCGTAACATCCGTTTTCCTTTAAAAATACAGATAGATGGTAATTTAGTACTATCTATAAAAATGAATGAAAAACTATAAGTACAATAAAATTTTCCTTTTCAGTAAATTCCATAAATCAGTCCTTATCTGCGGCATATATCAAAACCACAGTAAACTGATTATTTTCGTTACTTGTTGCTCAAATATGCATAGTTTTTCACCTTTTGGATTGACTGTGATATTGCCAGCTATGTTAAACCAAATAGGTGTCTCATTCATATTAAAAATTTCATCTATTTCGAAGGATTTTTCTATTCTAAGGCGAATAACAAATTGCTGAAACTTTTCTAATAAATCTTGAGTTTGAATTGAAAGTTTTTAGGATATTTTTGTATGTCTTCGTAATGCCAGTTTGTATCATTTCAAAAATGCAACTAGCCAACGGTGAGACATTTTAAAATCCTTTGATGCATTACCATAAAAAACTAAAATTTTGGATTCTTCTAATATTTTTAGTATTCTATATCGTATTGTTACATAAGTCACTACAAAAGCCTGCTTTCTTTGTTCTATTATCCAATTATACAGCTTTCTTTTAGCTTCTGAAAAGAAAGCTTTTCGGCCAGATCTAACCATCTACTATTTTCGCTTATTTCACTTGACCAGTTCGTGCTTACCTTTATCCAATGTCTAATCATGCTGGCATTAAGTTCAAAATGTACAGCAACATTATTTCTTTCATGCTTCTTTGCATAATCTACAACCTGTAACTTTTGAGAGAGAGAGTATGATGTCTGCTTTCGTTTGCGTTGTGACCATTTTTTTGTAACATTTTTAGATAAATGAAGAAAGACCATCGCGTGTTTATGTATGCATATGCAATTCAATTTATTAGATCTGCATATTGCATAACAAGACAATCAGCAGTCATGAGATTTAGGATCTTCATTTTTAGCATTTGACGCAGTTTCTAGATTATTGTCTTAGCAAATTTTTTTAGTATCTGAAAATAAGCACCCTATAGCAAAAAAGAGATGCTTATTTTCAGAGAAATATAATACATTAATAACGTGACAATTTATCTTTTGCTATGAATTTATATTATTATGCCAATTCTAAGTCCATAATAATTATTCCCCAAACGATTATTACAAACATAACCATTTCATAATTGATTTATGATTCCTCTCCTTCCAAAAAGTCTTCCTTTAGGACATCTCCATATTTACTCTAAAGCCATTATAAAGCATCTTTGGCTGTTGGTCTATCATTCACATCTTTTTCCATTAAGCTTGTTGCGTATATTTTTAATTCATCAGACTTTGAAGATTTGCAGTGGCTGTTAGAATCAGGTACCTGACAGACCAAATATCAACACTTTCATTGTAGTGGTCTTCAAAAATCTCAGAAGTATAACTGTCTTTAGCTAAGTGTATGCTTGAAGTAGGTGAAGAAATATAACATGCATTATCAAAATCGATGATGAACCACTTGTCCCAGTCAATATATTTTAACACATTCTTCCAACGGATAACACGATACATAATTCCTATTTCGTAAAGAGCCTATGAATATATATGCTTTAGTTATAAAATTCCTACGTTTCTAAATAAATAAAATGAAAAAAAAATAGATATCTTAAGGGCATTCAAAACGCAACATAAAGATTTAATTAGTTGTTCCTTTGATTGTGGTCTACATACCATACCCTTTGGTAAAAATACTACAAATGGTATTTTTGCCTCATCGTCATTGACGTGTTCTAATCGATTAGTGAAAGGGACTTTGTGCTTAATGCTATCATAAATAGTTTGGACATGTCTGATGGGCTGTGTCGTACAGTACTATTTCATAACAACATTTTGCATTAATTCAACCACCTTGCCATTTGGCCAGTAAAGAATGATAAATTCCTGCTGAAAATATCGTGGGATAGTTTGACAAATTAAAGGCAACAATCGGCTAATATTAATTCTGGTAATGAAAGCTTGTACGTGTCCTGCCAGCTTATTTAGGTCACAAGTGAATAAATCCCTTTGCAGAATATGTTTTCCTTTGAGATACAAATAACAGTATGTTACTATTGTAACGCGTGTATGATACCCAAATACGTAAGGGTATTGTTTATATGTTCATATTAATTTTTCAGTTAGTTCCTCCGCTGGATTACCCTCAGTATCAAATCCCTTTTCTTCTCCTCTTGCGAGACAAGCATCTTGCACCAAATATGAAAGGTTAGATCGTAATTTCCTTGTGAAAGTATGTAAGGACGTGTTTCAGTTGTGTCTTCCATTTAGGGATTCAATTTTAAAAGGCTTGACAATGAGCATATTCCAGAGTGAATGATACAAATCTTTAATGATACCAGTATCAGGCGGAAGAGTGATATGGGTAATATATTTGCTCTATAGTTGCAAGGAAGCCTTTTCTGAACTCATAAAAATTTTATTCAAATATGCCGAAAGGAATTTTACCTCAAAGTATTCTTCATAAAGCGAAGGGATAATTTTGATCAGGTTGATAGGTAGTTGCTGAAGCCATTCTAATAAATCTGACTTGTGGAAAATGAAATCGGGTTTCGCATTAAGCATTCATATAGTCTGAAAGTACGAGTCAGCATCTATATTGGAAAACAAAGCTGATTAGACATACAAACTCTTAGGCATGCATCTTCTGAATATAATTTTTAACTTACTATCTTTGTGTGTTTTGGCTTTAATAGTTTTTAAGAAACAAATTAAGCAAAAAAACAGTAGGTAATATTAAAATATTATTTAGCGCAGGAACAAAAGTATTAATCCGCAGTATTCGAAAGTACACTTACCTTTAACTACCAAGAAAAAAAATACAAGTTAATTAACAGTATATCATACAGTATAAAATAGAAAAGAAAACACATTAGCTTGCAGGCAGTATAAGGAAAATTTAAAAATGAGAAGTATTTACCATTCTTTTGAATCAGACATAAAAAGTTGTTTTCATGCTCTTGCAACACCTTCTGAATTATCCATCTTGGAGATATTATATGAATTTTGCTATCGCCATCTTTTATTATTTTCAAACTTATTTCAGAAGTCGTGCAGTTCTTAAGAGCACTAGATTCATTTTTATAATAGCTTTTTTTTAGATTGTCTATAGTCTTGTTATGTTCGAAATTTATTGAAGTCTCTTCCAACTCTTCAATTTTGTATCAGATTTTAACAGTTATCGTGCAGTTGTACAGTTCAGAAAAGGAAAAATGACTGAATTTCCATTTATATATAAATGGGTTGTGATCTAAGAAAATAGAGTTCTGAAACTTTTCAAACAAAATTAAGATTTTTACTTTATTATATATTAACTTAATATAAGATAAAATTATTTTGTTAATTGTACACTTTGTGGAAAAATCATTATTATGGATCTAGAATACGATTGTATTATTGGATATAAAATTGGTCAAATTCATTCTAAAATGATACCTGAAGCCTTGATGAATGAAATCTTTTGGGATATCCCTGAAAAAGTACAACATCATGATGAAGCTTATTGTACTGCAATTGAATTATTACAACCACCTCTTAATCCTCAAACTTCTGACGAATTGACTGAAGACGAATTTAACAAATTGTTTAACCCTTATAAACCAATTATTACCCCAGTTATCGCATCAAATTTTAACGAAACTCAAAGTCGTGCATCCACTCCTGAAGTAGATTTTTAAACATTATTCCCTTCTTTTGTTTTTTTTTATTATTATATTATTTTAAAGAGGTAACATTTAGTTGAATAGCGCTAGTGAGTGAAAGTCTCAAATTTATTTAATTGAGTGAAAGCGAAAGTATAAGCATTATGACTTGCAGCTCAATTATTTATAATAGATATACAACAATATTTTGAACTTCAACAATATTTAAATCACAGTAAGTTTCCTAACCACATTCAATCTAATAAAGACAAGAAAAAGTTCACGAATATGGCCAAGTATTTTACAATTCAAATACAAATTTATATCATTTTGATCGAAGAAGACTTGGATATTTATTACAAGTTCTCAAAAGACATGAATTAGAGCCTGTTCTATACATGATGCATAATGACTCTACAGCAGGACATTTTGGACGAGAAATCATATTCAACAAGGTTAAAACTCAATATTATTGGCCTCAGATGTATGAAGATATTAAAGAATATGTAAAAACATGTGACTCTTGCCAACGAAGAGGAGGACCAAGCAAGAATAATGAATTACACCCTATACCTCCTCATAGTCCCTTTTATCAAATTGGAATTGATTTTATCAGTCCTTTACCAATAACTCCTTGAGGAAATAGATATATTATCATAGCTGTAGATATATTTACTAAATGACCAGAAGCAAGAGCTGTTGCAGAAGCTACAGCTAGTCAAGTTGCTTTATTCGTCTATGAAGAAATTATTTGTAAATATGGATGCCCTATGAAAATTCTATCAGATAGAGCAACACATTTTAATAATGCTATAATAAAAGAATTAATGGAAAAATTTGGAATCAAATATCATAATTCAATGCTATATCATTCTCAGACGAATGGACAAGTTGAAAGATTTAATAAAATGTTGAAAGAATCTTTAGCAAAATTATATAAGAATAAACCGAATGGAATCTACATATAGCTCCTGTATTATTTGCTTATCTTACTGCTCAGAAATCTACTACTAAAATGATTCCATTTTTTTAACATATAGACGAGAAGCAAAATTGCCCCTGGATGATCATGTTGATCAGAAAAATAAAAATTTGATAGACCGAATTTGACAAATCATAGAGAAATTTCTAAATATTAGAGAAAAGGCTAAACAAACAACGATCGTCATGAAAAATAAACAAAAGACAGCCATGACAAATATCTGATTAAACTAACATCATTTGATATAGAACAAAAAGTTTTGTAATTTGATGCTACACAAATCAATCAGTTCTCAGGAAAACTAGAGCCAAAATGGAAAGGACCTTATAGGATTCATGAGATCTTAATAAATGGATCTTATCGTTTAAGAGAAGAAGATGGACGCCTTCTTGTTAAACCAGTAAATGGTAATCTACTAAAAAGTTACTTTGATCAATGGTTATGGGAATCACAAATAGTAATCGACATATGAGAAAATATATAAGACATCATTATTCCCTATCAGCATCAGTTTTGCAAAAATAGATGAAATTTTACAAGACATAACGCGAATGAAGCCATTATAGATTCAAGAATATTATCATCCATATCAATCTACAGATGATCCTAGAATAAAAATGAGGATAATTCAAAGAAATTATCAACGAACAAAGGTAGTCAGAAATAGAATCAGAATGTTAATAAATATGTATTTCATTGGAGACCTTTTAGACTCTCTAGAAGATATTGACTATAAATAGGCTAAATTAGTTTTAAGTCTATATCAAAGAGAGACTGCCATAAAGACTTTTACGATATTTTAAGAATTAGAAATATTGCAGCTTTATCAAACCAAAGTCTTGACCACTTAGCAAATACAACGATTAATAAAAAGTAAAATACAGAATCTTATTTTGAGGGTGAAATCCTTTTTCACTACTATATTCAAAATTCAAGTCAGAGGAGAATTGTTAACAGAAGAAATTACAACTTCAAATATCACGTGAGATATGTCAATTAATAATGATCTCACGTTAGATGATGTCATTGCTGTGCCAAACAGTGATCAGTAGTAATTTCTGTTTCTTCTATTATGTCTGTTCTTTCTGTATTTTCTATACAGTCTGTCTACCCTGTTTATTCTGTTTTACCTGTAATTTCTTTAACATCTGTAATTTATTTTATTTCTTTTTATTATTTTTATTATTTTATTATATTTAAGTATATTTTTATTGAAACATATATCTATATTTAGTTAATTTATAGCGTAGTAAGTAGTTAGCCATAGCAAATTTATTTTGTATAAATAGAATAGCTTTTTGCTTAAGTTGTAAATTAACTCAGTTGTAAGTTTATTAACTCTTTTGCAAGTTTCAAGTTATAAATAAAGGAATCAATTTAAATCCACACAAATTACTTTTCCCTTCAACGTTGTCTCTCATCTAAGATTGTTGTAATACACTACACTAACTTGCTATTGAGTTCATCATTACGAGTTCGACCAACATAACTTAAATTCTAAGACGTAATAAATTGTCGAGTTGATTCAAGTATAACGGATATCTGTAGGACTTAGAGAAAATTCTAAGGTCGGAAACTCCAACGTGTAGAATCAACTGCCGCAGCCTTTCAATTTAGATGTTAAGATAAATGAAAACGAACCCAGTGATAACATAATTTAAAAATTCTAAAAGAACTGATTTTGATACTTACAGTCAATACTTATAGCTTATTCCTTATAAAATACTAATTAATTCAAACTAAAAATTTAAGAACCTACTTATCAAACATATTGAAACTGTTATTTTATTAAAGTATTATCAGATAAAAATAAACTCAAATCCAAATGTGGACTTATAATAATAACTTTAGATATATAATGATATTGTGTTATGAAAAAATACAAATTGTCAAGAATTAATTTTTTTTGCATTTTCTTAAATTAATATACTAACATACCTATAAAAAATTTTACAAATGAACGATTTACTGAATTATTTTGATTATATATTTTCATTTAATTTAAAATTTAAAATTAATTTATTAAAATTTAATTTAAATATTTAATTATAACTTTATTATAATAATAATAGCTAAATAAATATATAAGTTATTTTCACTAAACAAATATTTTATATTTTAACATACAAACTTTCAGATTGCAACTATTAGATACAGTGTCAGAGAGTTGACTTTTTTATAATTTACGTAAGGTTCTAACTAGTTTCACGCTAAATATTAGTTATTTTTTTATCACTAATTTATCAAATCAAGTTAAGTTTACTAAATACAAGTGGTTTTAATCACAAATCAAAAATTACACAGTAGTTTACGAAGAGTTTGAGGTAAGAAATAAGAAATGCTTTTATTGAAATAGAAAAAAAATAATAAGATAAAATATAAGAAAGAAATAAGAAAATAGAAATAAGAAATAGGGGTACACAAAATGAAAAGTAACATTATGCTATCTTTTACAAGAAGGAGATTACTATATAGCTGTCAGTCTATCTTTTTCTAACTGACAAAAGGCTTGTATTTATATCTATTCTATTACATATTTTAATATATTTAATATATTAATTATATTAACTTATCAACTATTTTAACTATTTTAACTATATTAACTATGTTAGACATATCTGATATGTTAGACATATTAACTATATTAAACATATTAAATATGTTTAATATGTTTGACATTATCGATATTTGTACTCTACCATACATTTGTAGATCTATGATCATTAAGATTAACACTCGGTCACATTACTCTCTCCTTAAGATTTTTGTTCTAACAGAAATTTCTAAAGTATAGTTAAGAAGATCCTAATATTCGTTAGATTTGAGTCGTCTAATTTAGGTCAATGTTAAAAAATGATAAAACTGGCAGAAACTGACAGACCTGTCAAATATAACATATATGCTGAATATGCCATATCTGCCAAATATGACATATATACTGA